GCAGGTTGCCCCGAGGAGCTGTGGCTGCCCCATCCCTGGAGGTGTTCAAGGCCAGGTTGGACGGGGCTTGGAGCAACCTGGGCTGGGGGGAGGTGGCCCTGCCCAGGGCAGGGGGGGGCACTGGATCACCTTCAAGCTCCCTTCCCACCCAAACCATCCCGTGATTCCACGATAAGTTATCAAGAGGCTGCAGGAGGACAGACCAGCAGGAGGCACACAGGGTGGGCAGTTTTGGTGTGGAAGTCCATCTCTGCTTCCGAACCCAAACAATCATCAGGCAAGAATTAGATTTCTCACCACTTCTGAAAGCAGCTTGAAGACAGTTAATTCTTTCTCTTTTTTCTTTCTTTTTTTTTTTTTTTTTTCCCAGGATTCAAGCTTTCCATGACAACTAGACAGTAACTCGTTAGTTAGCATTCATCCCGGGTGACGAGGCTCACGGGCTGGCAGCGACACGCACCGCCGACTGACTGACACGTATCTGCAGGCCCCGTCTTGTCAACTCCCATTTAGAATTTAACTTAAGCTCCTCTCCCATTTACCCCATAAATGCATTAGGGGAATAAAAGGTGGTTATTTTACTCTTTGAAGACGGTACGAGAGGCCAGCTCCTTACTGGCATCGGTACGTTGTCACCGCGCGTGAAGTCACTTCTAGCGAGCAAAGCACCAGGCTGGAAGCCAGGAGACCCTCCCGCCATCTCCCGGCTCAGCACACAGAGTTCATTAACATCGGTATTTTAACAACGCCCTCTGTTCTCTAATATTTAGGTTGAGATGAAATGTTTTATGCTGAGGGCGGTGATCCCCTGGGGCAGGTTGCCCCGAGGAGCTGTGGCTGCCCCATCCCTGGAGGTGTTCAAGGCCAGGTTGGACGGGGCTTGGAGCAACCTGGGCTGGGGGGAGGTGGCCCTGCCCGGGGCAGGGGGGGGCACTGGATGGGCTTCAAGGTCCCTTCCAACCCAAACCATTCTATGACTCTGTGATCACCCCTCCTTAGTGCCATTCCTAAACCATCAGATATCTAACTTGGTCATGGGTGTGCAACTCAAACCATTTGAGAAAATCTTCAGTGTAATGTGCTCCTGATTACGCTGAAATTGTGAAAAATCATAGTTGGTAGTCACTGTTTGACAAATAAAATGCAATGCATGGAATCATGGAATCATGGAAGGGTTTGGGTTGGAAGGGACCATTAAAGCCCACCCAGCGCCACCCCCTGCCCCGGGCAGGGCCACCTCCCCCCAGCCCAGGTTGCTCCAAGCCCCGTCCAACCTGGCCTTGAACACCTCCAGGGATGGGGCAGCCACAGCTTCTCGGGGCAACCTGCCCCAGGGGCTCACCGCCCTCAGAGTGAAAAACATCATCTCACCTACGTTTGAACATCAGCAACGGGGGACGTTAGGCCCTAAGAAGCCTCCCATCATGGACGTGCTCACTCTCCACCACTCAAACCCCTCCAAGGAGCCTGCCTTTTCTTTCACTTCATTCAGCAGTTTTGGTCTTGATGCATGGGTCAGGGTGGGAGATCATCTACTGTCTTCACCACAGCTCCAGCGAGATATATAACCTTCCTCTCCCGTCCTCAGTCCTCTCAGAACAATTTGCTGCCAGGGCAAAGACGCTGACACAAATCTCCCCCTCCATGTTCAGAAAAGCTGCATCTACACCGCCCTCCTACATCGCTCCGAAAGGCCACATCAGTGAGGACATCTTATGGAGAAGTGATGGTTCTATGAATCTATGAGTGCCACCTCTCCAGCCACACATCAAGCCTGTAGGTCCTCCTGGACCACCTTAGGAGCATCGGTGACGCATGGGGCACAAAACCTATCCTCGAAGTCCTTCAGCACCTCTAGCAAGGGCTTTTCAGCATGCCTAGCTCCAGACTCACCTCCACAACTCCAACGTGGTCCCCCGTACCAAGGGACACTGCCCGACCCCTACCACTGACTGCTCTGGCCACAGCAAAACGGAAAGCAAGAGAGAGGTTTGGCCACAAGTAAAGCCACGCGAGGCCAAGCGCGTGGCCGTGGCTGTCCAGAACAGCTACAGTCAAAGCCCACCAGCCCAGGTTCTTCCACCTCTGGTCATTAGGTAGGTCATTAGGTAGGAGGCCCACCAGTCCTACTTTTGGTGCCTGGTTGGCAGTGCTGGGAGGGAGGTGTGCCATCTCCCCATGTGGGTGAAACAGGAGAAGCAAAGGTGCCACAGCCGGGCTTTCGACCCGGGAAGGCTCTAGCACAGGTCATTGATCTGCCCAAAGTTCTTCTGGAAGATCCAGTGGAGGATTCCTCTGGAGACATCCCGCGTCTCCAGTACTCGGTGCTACTGTGGTCAGCCCAGTCAGCAAGAGAACCGCACCAGAGGCCTTGAAGAAGCAGTCCCTATGACAAGCAGGAGATGCAGGGTGGAGCGTGGTGGGGCGGGCACCCCGCTGCTGCCCTATGGCATCTGTGTTGATGACCTCCATGCTCCTACAGACGGCCGTCTACTGAAGAGAAGCCATCATCAGTGCAACGTGCCTCAATTAAGCCTTGGATTATCCTGCCCCAGCAGCTGATCACCGCAATTCTTGCATCGGGGCTTCCAGCGCCCACACCAGAAAGCCAGACCTTTCTGACCGGTCAAGTCCTTAAGACGTACAGGTTCTGATACGGTCAACCCACCCTTCTCGTGACTGTCAACACCAAAGAGATCCCTCTACTCCAGTTGTACCGGACAGGCTACGATATATTTTAAGGTCCGCGCATTGTCTTCAATGGAAGAGAAATGAGCCCAAGTCCCAGTAGAGGACTTTAATGCACAACCTGGCAGCCCAGGGCTGAGCTACGGCTAGCGAACGAGTCACGCGACAACACACAACGACTTGTGATCTCCTCAGTGACTCCACCCGTCTTCCTCTCCTGTTCTTAGCGACTAGGTTGAAACGGATATCCTTCCCCGGCACCTCATCAGGTAGCGCCTTCCCGCGCCCTCAGCGACCCCCAGCAAGCCCCTTCCTCTCCGCTCGCCGCACACACCTTCAGCTTTTCTCAAAGAAGTTCACCAGACCACCGCAAACGCCAGATGCAAGGTGGTCCAGGGGTGAAAGTGGGACGTGATGATGTTGGAACTACCAACAACCCTTTACACCGGTCCCCCCCCAGCGATAAGGACCATTTCCTTAGCTCCCCAGAGAGCTCACGTTTAATAAGCACCGATATCACCTCTTACTGGTGAAATCCGGTGTTCCTAAAGCCCGTTTCGGGCTGCGCTCCAGCTCTGCACACAGGAAGGACTCACTGCTCGAATATCAAGGCGCTGCACATTCAGCCTCCCTCTCCCATCATCTTGCAATCTCTCCTCCTGCTTTTGGGACGTGCCGTCCCCTCCAGGCACTTCTGCACCAGCCAGACGTTCCCGGAATCACAGGTATTGATCCCACCTATCCAATTAGCAGGTAATGGGACGCTGAAGCAAATTAGCCTTTAGGAAAGGGAACGGCGCCATCAAAATACAGAGTAACCGCGTAAAGCATGCGAACGTCATTGGAATAAGCAAGGGACTTGCAAAATGGGATGGCAGTGACAAAGCAGGGTCTAGCAGTCTGGGTAAAGACCTCGGGTTTGGCAGGGAGAAGAGGTGTGACCACCAGCTCAGAGGGTGGTTGGGGGGGTCATAGAGTCACAGAATGGTTTGGGTGGGAAGGGACCTTGAAGATCACCCAGTGCCACCCCCTGCCCTGGGCAGGGCCACCTCCCCCCAGCCCAGGTTGCCCCAAGCCCCGTCCAACCTGGCCTTGAACACCTCCAGGGATGGGGCAGCCACAGCTTCTCGGGGCAACCTGCCCCAGGGGATCACCGCCCGCACAGTCAACAATTTCCTCCGCAGATCTCCCCAAAATCTCCCCTCTGTCAGTGTCAAATCGTGCCCCCTCGTCCCACGGCTCCCC